AGAGAGAGAGAGAGAGAGAGAGAGAGAGAGAGAGAGAGAGAGAGAGAGAGAGAGAGAGTCTCTCTAACTACCTACGACCCACCCACCCCACCATCAAGTGCCGTATCTGTACCAATCAGCTTCATATCTGATCCATGGTCCATCGGTACCCAAAAAGAAATGGGAAAAAGACTCGAGTGCGAGGGCGAGCCCGCGGGCGGGAGCGCGCGCGCACGAGAGAGAGAGACAGAGAGAGAGAGAGAGACCCTAACTACCTACCACGCCCCACCACCATCAAGTGTATTATCTGTCCCGATCAGTGTCATATCTGATCCGTGTTCGATCAGGAGATTCAGGACCAGCAAAAAAAAACAATCAAACAAAGAAATGGACACTCCACACAGGTCCAGGAGACCATTAAAAAAAAAGAGAAGAAAAATCCGCACGGGCGCGAGCGGGGCGTGAGAGAGAGAGAGAGAGAGAGAGAGAGAGAGAGAGAGAGAGAGAGAGAGAGAGAGAGAGAGAGAGAGAGAGAGAGAAACCCTAACTAACTATGACCCCCTGCCCACCCCCACCACCATGAACTGTATTAACGTATGTCCCAGTCAGTTTCATATCAGGTCCGTGGTCCAATGGGACCATTTAAAAATAAAAAGAAACGGAAATGCTGCACAGGAGCCCACACGTGCGCGCGCGCAAGAGAGATAGAGAGAGAAACCCTAACTAACTACGACCCCCTGCCCCCCCCACCACCATGAACTGTATTAACGTATCTGTCCCGGTCACTTTCATAGCAGGTCCGTGGTCCAATGGGACCATTTAAAAAAAAAAAGAAACAGAAAAGCTGCACAGGAGCCCACACGTGCGCGCGCGCGCGAGAGAGAGAGAGACAGAGAGAGAGAGAGAGAGAGAGAGAGAGAGAGAGAGAGAGAGAGAGAGAGAGAGAGAGAGAGAGAGAGAGACCTACGACCCACCCACCCCACCATCAAGTGTGTTATCTGTACCAATCAGTTTCACATCTGATCCGTGGTCCATCGGCTCGCAAAGAGAAATGGAAAAAGCACGCTAGCCTGCGGCTGCCTGTATTATCGTATCTGTCCCAATCAGTTTCATATCAGGTCCGTGGTCCATAGGGACCATTAAAATAAAATAAAATAAAAAAGGAAAAGCCGCACGTGCGCGTGCGCGAGAGAGAGAGAGAGAGGGACGGCGTTCCCCTAACGGTTACTTGCAACTGTAACACAAGACCCAAAAGAAAGAAAAAAAGACCAAAAAAAGGGACATGCGCGCTTGAGGGGGAGAGAGAGAGAGAGAGAGAGAGAGAGAGAGAGAGAGAGAGAGAGAGAGAGAGAGAGAGAGAGAGAGAGA